GAATTTTGAACCCTTATTAAAGCGTCAAATATCCAATACAAAAAAAAAATAAAAATAAGTAAAGAGTTGAAGTAACATAGACTATGGTAATGAGATAAAGGATCTGTTTTTTTCAGTTTAATTTTAGTTCATTTCCTAATTTCCTTTTCTCATAAACAATTCAGTTCAGTTTTATTTAATTCAGTTTATCTAAGTTCAGTAAATCAACACATACCCCAAAGTTAAAAACTCTATTTTAGAAATAATAAGTCTAGATACATTCGAATGTATGACAGACAAACTTGTTGACAAGAGAGAACTACAAACATTTGAAAAATAATTATCAAGTTGAATGAATGAATTTGAATGAACCCCACTCAGGTGACCAAAAGCTAACAACAACCTACTCCGCTTTCGCAACCCGTAAAAGGCAAATTCCTATGATACATTACACACGCAGTGCACTCGTACTAGTAACTACCATGAAATAACTAAAACAATTTATATGATTAAATTATAATATTAATGAGATCGATTAAGTAGTTTAATGGTGTTATTCTCTTGGTCTTTTGATTAGTATTAGTTTAATTGTTTAGTAACACCTATGTTTTCTTATCCTTTCGGATATCTTTGTCGATAAGATCATTTCTCTATCTATTTGTTCGCCGCGTTCAATCCGTGGTATAACTTATTTTATATTCTACCTCCGTTTTATATTATTTGTAATAATTTGATATAAAAAAGAGAGAAAAAATGTCTAATCGTTGCAAATAATATGAAATGGTGGTAATATATTTTTTGTTTGAACAATAATTTTTAAAAATATTTTATATTAACTCCATGAATTAATAATGTATAATACTATTATTAATAAATAGAAGTATTTAGATATCTTGGTAATTGGCACCAATAAGGAATTGTTTTTGTTTGCGAGCTAATGGTTGCTTGTTAGTTTGCTTTGCTTATATATTTTATTATTATTATTATTATTATTATTATTATTATTATGATCAATTTGAAATATTATTAGTGATATATATGTATGTGTTGGCTATCTTGTTCTAGTGCGGCCGAATTCATTAAGTTAGAAGTAAATTTATATATAGGTTTATAAAGGTTACTCAAGTATAATTAACAATTAAAATAAATTCACAAGTTTTAAAAAATTCAAATAAATGCAAATCGAATTAATAAAACACATTAAAAGTACGTGGTTATCCATAAAAATATTTATTAAAACAATGATTGTACAATTGTTGGTTACATGACTAGAAGGGCTAGTTATCTAGTTATAGGTAAAAGTTGATGATATGTAGATGGTATTACCAAACTTAATACTTCTATTTCGGAGGATAGCCGAAAGCAGTTTAAACTATCTTCCTTATTTTTATTATGATACTCAAGAAGAAATTATAATGTATTTAGTTATTCACCATGCATGAACACATTTTTTGGGTTGTTTGATCATGTTGACAACCTAAAAGCCAACAACTAATAATAAAGTAAATGCTCTAAAATCATTTGCCAAATTTGATAGTTGTTTTTAGAATACTTTGTATAAGCTAAAGAATTGAATGCATAACATAGAATCACAAAACCTAAATCATCATTTTTTATTGTAAAACAAGTATTACGTACAGCACGGAGAAAATGGAATATGACGAATATATATTTATTCTTGTTTGTAATAATTTTGTCAAAATTAAGAAATTAATTTAATATTTAAATGAAGAGATTGCGTGAGAGAAAATAAAATGGAGAAGAGAGAACGAAATAAAAGGGGGAGGGCGACGAGGCACAATTTCATCACATGATTGAAACAACATCAAAAGAGAAAGAAATTAAAGAGTGAGAGAAAAGCAAGGGACTAAACATCACATGATCCACCATCATGAACCATATCAATCACAAAATCTTATTAGCATCAACTAGGCTTAGAATAAGAAATTATTTAATTTGTTCGTATACATCAAAATTTAATACTTTAATAATAGTACTAATCTAGTCATTTGCAAATCAGTAACACTTATAATAAAAAAAAAATATGATATGAATTTTTTGTTGAAGATGATCGAACAATCTTACATCTTTAGCTATATATGCTTGACAAGAAGATAGAAATCATAGAATAACGTATAATAAGGAGGCAAAAGAGACGTTGGAGTTGGTCAAATTTTTCTCTCAACTCCCATAAAAATCTTTCGTTTGACTCTTAACTCTCTTATTGATTTTCAAGAAGAAACAATTGTTATTTAAATTCTAAATCGTCAAGGAAAATCAATATTGACTATTATATTACTTATTCATACTATAAATTCATGATCATGTCACTTACTTGATGATCAATATTAGGCAATAAAATACTAGCTAACATAGACATGATTAATATAAAGTAGTCTAAGTAGACCATAAGTACAACATGAGATATTATCTTGTTTATATTATAAACATAAATACAATTTATGTTAGGTTTTAAATTAGTTTTACAAATGTTTGCAATCTTATCATATCAAACCAAATAGTGCAATAATTAACACCAATAATATTGAAATTTAAATTGTACATTATTGCCTTAATAATTTCAAATACCATACATATAAAAATAGACAATCTCTTCAAAAACATCAAAATCATTTAAACCTATCTAATATATTCTAGATAATTCACCTAAATGGTCATATCCATCATATGAAAGATATGATGAAGAATATAATTGCAATCAATTGTAAGGAAAAGACATGTCTAGACATAGAAACGAAAGGGTGATAAATATGAGTAAAACCCAAATGGGCCCGGGTAATGGGCCCAATTGAGGAGAGAGAAAATGGGTTATCTGACCCAATCTCATCCCCAAAAACTCACCCCTTTAGCTTATCCAACCACCTATCTAGCTACTTTTCTTTGTGTGTGCTACGGAGTACTAATTACGAGTTCTCTCTTGTACTTGTAATTATGTGGTCCTATTTCATACAAGTATTAAGCTTAATATACGTTCAAATTAATACTTGATTAAGCCAATGTCTCATACATGACGACTTTTTTATTAGTTTTGCATGGTCAAATTCTTTTATGTTTGACTATTGATTTTTTCTTATTGATGAGAAATTATAATTAAGTATTATAGTTTTAATTGCATTGCATGTTAGATTTGTTGTCAAATTATTAAAGTATTTTGTTTAATAATGTCAAGTATGAAAAGTATTGATTTTGAAGATCGTAAAAAGTTAAAATGAAGTTAAAAAATAGGAGCGATGAAAGTGATAATGAAAGTGATAGTATATACATACTCTTAAGCGTATTGTTCATTAATCAATAAATTAAGCATAATCATTTTTCACTTAAAAAATTTACCGCAATAGTTAAAAAAAAAACTACTATTATTGTTTAAAAATATATATAAAAACACATTGTTATTTAAAAAAAATGGAGCGAGTACAAGTTAATTAAAATTTTAGTCGGTAGGTCTAGATTAGGATAGATATTAAACGTGAATCTATCAATTAATCACCAAACAAAGCATTTATAGAAGACAACACAATATTGAAAGTTGATTTGATTGGTTAAGTAACATGCATAGTTAAGCACAAAGCTAGGGAGGGGTCAAGCTAAGGTGGGAATTGAATTAATTAGTATAATACGATACTCTAATACTATCAATCATATAAATTAAAAAAAGGGTTAAGTACATAATTGACCTTTAAAAAATGCCAAAGGCCATAAGAAAGATTGACACATGTGCAATGTGTTGTTGGATAGAAAAGGAAAAAAAGATTATCCAAAGAAAATAACTTTATGAAATTTTCTTAAATGGCTAAGATTTCATATTTTCATGCTATTGAAAGCTACAAGTCATCCTCCCACGTGACATCCGCCTTGGTTTGTTGTTTCCACTCAGTTTCGTGTCTTGGCATACTAAATTGCATGCTTCATTCTCCGCATCACACAATTCACATATTTCCCTCTTATCAATAATTCTTAATAAACAATTCTAAATGGTAAAATTTTATTTTTATTTTTATTTTTATATGCAAGAAGAAACTCTTTACCAAGACTTTTTCACAGATATAAAACATCCCAACTACCACATAAATAGGTTAGACTCTTAAAATAGGAGAAAGAGTAAGTAAAATCTCAACCCTAAAAAGTTTCAAGTATTTAGGGTTGAGATTTTACTTATTTTAACTATTTTAAGTTCTAATAAGAGGTACGGAGTATTAAAGTTTAAATTACAGGTAATTATATAAATCATAATAAGGCGTAATAACTTCAAATAAGAACATAAGTCCTTCTCCACAACCACTCTTGATTTGTTTTCATTTGGGCCCGAGTGAATAGACTAACTACGATTGGAGGAGTGGATAAAGAAATACCAGCAATGGTCTTCAATATCTATCATGCATAATAGAAAAAAGGTTAAAGGGGGGGAGGGGAAGGAAGGTGAAAAGATAAAGTATACCTTTAACTAGAAAAAATTACAAATCATTTACAATTATTTTTTTTTATTGCTTGTGTACTTATATTGTTGTACGATATGGCCACATAAATTAAAAAAATTAATAATAAAAAAAAAATACGAGTAGCCTCAATTTTACCTTGAATATGGTTATGGTGAAAATCCTCAAAGGAAGGAAGAGAGAACGAGAGATTTAAAATGGTAACTTAAGTATTCACCCTTACTTATTCAATAATTTTTTCCTTGCTATAATCGCCAATTTCTTATCATCTTCCACCTTATCCTTTTATCTATATCTCTCACGCCAATATCCTTTCATTAAAATTGCTCTATAATAGATGTTCGGCATGTCCCATTGAATTTGCCACGTTACAACACAGTTAAACAACTCATGCGTAATAGTTTTTTAACACACATGAAAAGAGAAATTTCGAATTATTTCAAATAAACGCACTTGATATAAAAAAAAATTCAAATGAATCCACTCAAGACGAAACTGTTGCAATGATATAAAAAAAATTCAAATGAATCCACTCAAGACGAAACTGTTGCAATTGTACGTAGAGTATACACATTATATAATGCATTTCAAATTTTCGATCATACAATGGGTGAGTAAAAAGTTACGAGTAACAAAGACAAAAACAATACGTAACATATGTCAAAATTTCACCGCAATCATACTAATTAAAAATTTTGTACTCCGTACCTACAATAATCCGCCATTAAACAATTTAAATCAACCCAGTCGAATTAAATTAAACTAAACTAAATTAAATTATCGTGTTCTGGTCGGAAATAAAATCCGGCCACTGTTACCGTTTACATCAAATCCAACCGACCGACATTTCACGGCAAACTTCGACGCCGCCGCCGAAGAATCCGCCGTCGATGACGGCAAATAATTCGTCGTCCGACGATAAGCACCAAGCCATTTTATCTGCATGTAACGATTCCTTCTCCACGGCGGCAAAGTAAGGCCGTTGATCTTCATCGATCTTCGAGCTTCGTCGCATAATAGCCGTATGATCTTCTTCAGATCTTCAACTTTCCCGACGAAAACCCTAGGTAATGATGTTCGTAGTATTCTGTAGTTTTCTGTTTCTCTTGCGATTTCGAATTCGCCGGAAAATTCGGCGTCGATTATGTATCTAACTGTTGAATTTGGCCGGATTACGTCGATAAACTCGTAGTTTCCGGCGGTTAGGGTTCCGCCGGCGGAGGAGTCCCATTTTGTCTTGCAAATTCCGGCGTTGTATCCGATTTCTCGAAGGTACGCCATTAAATTCCGATTATAAATCGATTTGTTTTTGCTTCGAAAATTTGAGAAAATCTCAGTTGCTTTCATTACATTTGAGAGAAGCTGGTTTCGGAATTGATCCGCAATGTTCCAAATAATCGGGTTAACGACGTCGCGGATCATTGCTACCGGGTCTGATTGTAGGTGCTCCTCCGATTCGGAGTCGGACGAATCACGAGTGTGGAACGGGTCAGCTGTGGTGGTAGTGGTGTTATTAGAAGGGGAATTATAGTTTTCGAGAAAGTTTTGTACAAGGTGGGATAAGCACGGAGAGGTAGAAGCGGAAGAGGAAAGAGAATAGAAGGAGTCGGACACCACGTCGGTCTCGGCGTCGTGTTCGCTCCCACTACTACTAGTGGTACTACTAATAGAACTAAAAATTCTAGCACGGACTTTTTCATTGAAAGGGTCCGTTACTCGTTTGTTACACCTTCTCACATTCACGGCCATTTTTATGTGTAGTTGTATTGGATTTGGTAGTTGTGTGTAATGAAATGAGAAGAAACGAATTTTAGGAGGGGTATTTATAAAGGTGGATGTTGAAATAGTAGGACTAAATAAATAAATAAAAAGTGTGAGAAAAATTAGGAATAAAAAGAGGGATATTCGGCATAAAAAAGAGTGACTCTTGGGATAAAACAAAGGAGAAAAGGGATTATAAGGTAACATAATTAAATGTGGGGGGGGGGGGGGGGGGTTTGAATAATAAATTAGGGGTGAAGAAGAGAGGATATCCTAAATAAAGAAAAAAAGGGGATTAAAGATTTAAAGGCATATGCGACAGAAGGGAAGGAATGAGTTGGATGGACATTGGATAGAGAGAGAAAGAAAAGGATTTTGTTGTGGAGTTAAGGGTAGGGGGAATGTGCTTTGAATAATAAGGGCATGGGTTGGCACGTGAATTTTAGGTGCATTTCACAACTTGTGTTTCGACTTATAAAATTACCACTTGTTCTCTTACGTTGAAATTCAGTTCAGTTCAGCTCAGTTTAGTTCAGCTCAGCTCAGCTCATTTCAGTTCAGTTCAGTTCAGCTACTAATTTCCTTCTCTTATAAAATATTCATTTCAGTTCAGTTCAGTTCAGCTGAGTTCAGTCAATGAGAACAGGCCCTAAGGGTTTGTTCTGATTGACTGAATTGAGCTGAGTTGAGCTGAATTGAATATTTTATGAGAAAAGAAAATTAAGAATTATACTGAGCTGAGCTGAACTGAAGATAAACTAAAGAGATTAGACCCTAGATATCCCATACTAACCTACATAAGAATATAAGATATACGGTATCTTCGGGAGAATCAAGGTTAGGCTAATTGGTTGGAGGTTCTCCTTTCATCCTTGTGAGAGGGATTCGATTCTCATCCCAAGCAAGTAGGATCCCCAATTTCCCCTCTACTTATAAGAGAATTCTACTTGAGGCTTACAATAATAGTCGGTCTCATATGAAGTACTACCTCCGTTAACAGTTATCTGCAACAAAGGGGGGTAGCACGGAATCCTAGGCAAAAGTTTTAAAACAAGATTATTGATATATAAGGGCATGTACTTAAGCACTAATCCATTTAAAAATAAACCACAAATAACCGGAACAACCACCAAACCCAGCACTAAAAACCACCACCACCGAACCCACCAAGATCACCACCACCACCGAACCCACAAAGATCACCACCACCACCGAACCCACCGACAACCCAGAACCCACCGACACCTACGAACCCACCGAAAACCACCACCAAACCCAACAAAATGCGCCAAACCAAAACCCACCACCACAAAAGCCCCTAATAATGCCAATTAAACCACCACCACCACCGGGAATTGATCGAATTAATTCTAATTAAACCACCACCACGAAACCGAAAATCACGCCATCCACTACCCTACGAAACCCAACACCACGCCGCCTCCTACCCTCGAAAATCAACCACCACAAAACCTAGACCCAGACCCATGACTATCGTCACGTAGATCCGCCCACGAAACCCACAAAACCACCACACCCACGAAACCACCTTCACGAAGCTCGTGCCGCCCACAACCACCACACCCACGAAAATCACGGGAGACTACCTCCAGATCTGGACAGAAGATGGGAAGATGAAAGAGGAGTGAGATTTGATGATGAAGGAGGAGAGAGAAATTTGATGAATGTTGAGATTTGATTTGATTTTTTTTTTTTTAAGATCTGATTTTTTTATTTTTAAGATTAGATGATTAAGTTAGGTTATAAACTTATAATAGTGTATGGTTAGTGAAATGATTAAGGGAGTAGGTTGGTTAAGTAAGGGCAGTTTGGTCATTTTATACAAAAAAACTTACTAAAAGAGGAAAAAAAACTTTTGTTGCAAATAATAGGTAGCATCCGTTTATGACAAATGTTGCATATAACTGTTAACGGAGGTAGTATAATATATTCGTATGTAATGAGTTCTTAATTTGTGTATTTTTATATAGATATTGAAGGTTATTCGGTATATTTTGTAGTTATGGACTTTTACAAATAAAAAATTACTTTAAATAGAAGTATTTGAATTTTGTAAAACAATTTCATTCATTAGTTCATTTTGTATTTGCATGTAGTTTTAAAAAGTCATGTGATTGTAATATTAATGCAAAAACCACATTAACCTTTCTTAGTTTCTTACATCTACATTATACTGAAATAACAATAATTAATTGTAGATGTCCTTTTTATTACCTGGTTAAGTTTTGGGTGGTGAAAGTGGTACTCAGTACCTATGATCAAATTCCTTATACATCATTATTCTTTGTAAATCCCTCTTTAACATATCTCCATGTACTCAAGTTGTGCATGCCAACAAATCCGATCAAAATAGTGGAGTGATATCCTACCATGTTAAAATGTAAACCAACTCTAGATATCGATATCATTCTCGAGCCCATCTAAAGACATGTTCTCATTGACTGAACTGAGATGAACTGAACTGAACTGAATATTTTATAAGAGAAGGAAATTAGGAGCTGAATTGAACTGAACTGAACTGAAATGAATATTTTATAAGAGAAGGAAATTAGGAGCTGAACTGAACTGAATTTCAACGTAAGAGAACAGGCCTTAAGTGTCTAATCCATTTCTTGCTCTATTTTAAGATGGAAAATAAAGGCACAAAACCAGCACTATTCAACAAATCATCATGTACTACTTTTGTTAACTTTTAGTTGCAACTTTGAAACATTTTATATCTCACAAATAATGCACCAACGTTATAATTAAAAGTTAACGGAGATATATGTCAAATTTTCATTAAAAATCTACAATGAACATATTCTTACATAAAATTCTATCCGTACAGAAATAGCTAGGAGGGTGTATCCTTTGTAAAAAAAAAAAAAAAGGGTAAAACATGCACTAAATTTAAAGCAATTGAGGTTTAGTTTAGGAAGGGTAAGTAGGGTCCACACCCTAACTCTTGACAAGTGTGAAGGGCGAAAACGATTGGTCCAACGAGAAGCCTGTTGATTAAGTACGGCAAAGTTTAACCCTTAAAGCATGAGGTTCATTTTCTAGTTGTCCTTGTTTTATGAGTAGTAAGTCACAATAACAAAGGGTGTCCAAACTCCAAATGGCATCAGTCAATTATCCGGATCTTGGGTCCAGAATTATCCTTCCTAACACTAAATTTCTTGTCATAATTATTGATATTTGTACACATAATTAGTGGTCCCCTAATTATTGTTTAATTATCCCTAAGATTATCTATCGATCATATCATTGACAATACTATACTATATTACAATGCTTTGTATTCATTGATTTTGAGAGGTTGTCGTTTGTATAATGGGGTTTCCTTGCACATAACAAAGTGTTCTCACCATGAATAATTACATGATTAATTGGATGTTTTGGTAATTGGTATGTATGTTTATGTTATGTTATGCTGTTGTTGGTGGCATGTAGAGTGCATTACATTACTACGTTTATAGGAGGAAAGGAATATGCCATTGTGTGGTATATGCTCTTTATCGTGGGATATGAAACCAGGTGAACTATTAGCGCTGTCTGGTCACCACATTATTATTAGATTATATTACTACAACATTTTATTTTATAATCAATTATTGGTGGTGTAGTATGTAGTAGTATTAAGCTCATACAATTATATATTATATTATATTATATTATATTATATTATATTATGTTTGTGGTATTAGTTTTGACACTTGACATATACTGTAGTTAGCTTTTTTTTAACCGTTACTTTCTATGTTTTTTTAATCGCATTATTTGGTACGGGTAGAAATGACAATTAGTCCAAAATCCTGGCCAAACCATTTTGAATCCTATCATTTAATACCGTGTATGGGTCTAATTTTTATAGATCCTATGGATACTGGTAGGATATGGGTATATATGGTATTGGGTAGGGTAAGGGTCCGGGTAAAATGTATTTAGACCCAGACCCTACCCATAGACTCGTCAAACTCAGACCTATTCTTAGACCAGCCCAATTTACTAAATTAAAAAAAAATCAAAAAAAATAATACTTGAAAAAACCTAAGTATGTAAGGAGCTTATAGCCGACTTGCCGCATGGCATATCCCACATTTTGTTTCACCAGTCCAAACTCTAATCGATTTCTAAACATCCAGCAGAAAAACCTCAAGTTCTCAATTTTATTACTTCACCATATTTCGTTTTGCCAAGTCGTTGGTCTCGGGCAACCATCCGCATAGCCGGTTTTATAATTGTTTTATTATTTGTTAATTAATTGTTAGTGTTCTCATGTGTTAGTTTTTATTTTTTGTGTAATATATGCAATCGAACAATAAAAAATACAATAGAAAATAGGAGAAAAAAAAGTAAAGCAAGGACCTTAGGACCTTGATTGAACCCTAGACCTTACCCAGACCCTACTAGACCCATAGGGTCCAGGTAAGCATTAAGAAAAATTATAATTATTTAATATTATTAAAATATATATTGAAACGCGTCCAACGATATTACACATAGCTATTTTTAAATATGTTAATGCTATTCAAAATTTTAAAGTTTGACCCTAAATAGGGATATGCACATTATATTATGGGACGAGAGAAAGAGTATTTTGAGGCATTCAGATTATAAAAATAAAGTGTAAAATCTATTTTGAGGTTAAGAGAGATTTCCTCAAACTTAAAAGGTAGTTATCATATATTCACCTCTATAATGGGAGTTATATCACGTGCATAATACATACATGAGTTTCTACAAGGGATATATTATATCATTCACGTTGATCTTCAGTTTGAGCAACCCTAGCCGACCTAGCTCTTTCAATTTCAATTCATGTATAATTAGATCATGTCATTTTAGATAAATTTCAGATTTATATTAGTTAATCAGATCATATATGAAAAAGTTAGGAAGAATTACTGATTATTATGTTACTCAATGGAGTAATATACTAGTACTTGATTACATAGATTACATTACATTTTACTCACTACTTTAGTGATTGAAATGGTAAGCGTTATATAATCAGATATTAATCATATTACGTAGTTCGTTAAATGTTTAATTATATGTTTAGAGTCTTTATTAGACAACTTAATTAATAAACACATAATATGAATTATGAGCATGCAATTAGGTATATTTTCCTTATCCTTTAGAGTTATGGTTAGTCAATAAGAAGATAAAGATAATAAAATAAAGTTGAAAGTGACATATAAATCTAACATCAACATGGATAATGCGTTAGATTATCAAGCTAGCTGTCTAGAGTAACCTGATTGGGCAAGTTTTAATGGCCAAATGGCTGTTTTAAATACTACCAATCACATTTTTATTTTTTTATTTGGGGTCAAGTGACCTTTTCTACTCGACCTTATTTAATTTTATTTATTTATTTTTCTTCTAAGGATTTTTTATAATAATTAAATTTAATTAAGAGCATATTGTTTTTGTATTGTTGCCGTTGACGAAAATGACGATTGACTATTGAGTAGAAACCCACGTCTTATATGGTACAATAGTGTCTAGAAAATGGCAAACTATTCTATTCTGCCCTCTTTTTTAAGGGCGTTCTTTCGAATTTTGGTGTGGTGTGTTTCTTCGTATTAGGGAACGAAAGCTACTTGTCCTATTTTGCCGGGGATTGGATCAAGTGTTGGATGTATGCATTTATATATGAGGTTGGTTAACTCTTATGACTCGTCGATTAAGAACAATAATAAATGGTGATAATGGTAATGATAATGATAAAGACAATGTTAAATTTAATTATTGATCATTACTCCGTACTTTATATCATTAAGAGTGATTCGAGCGTTATGGGATGATAAGAGTGGTAATTGATATATGATGAGAAATGCAAGTTTGAGATCCTTCACCTTATTAACCTAACATATTCACATAATGTATTGATACTTAATATACATTCGCTTCGTTCTTAAATGTACTTGATGTTTGTTTTGGAATGTTCCATACTTCCATATACCATGTTATACTCACTTTAACTTCATTTTGATTTATTGGCTTCCACATTCCCATTTTTAACTCTTACTTGCTCCATATCCATTACCAAGTAATATGTAACTCCGTTTCTTTTCTATATTATTTATCATTTCTCTATTACATGGATTTGATTCATGTTATTTAATCGTTTTTATTTGACTATCTCACAATAGCAATGGTATCTATTTTTGTTTTGAAAGATCAATGGCTATCAATTACCCTGTCATAAGTGAGAAATGTAAGATATTAGGATATATTCAACATGATTGTAAAATAATTTCTTAATATCCTCTCAAGTAGACGTCTATTCTTTCTAAATTTTATCATTTAATATATCTTCTTTGATAATCAAGGAGATAATTATCAAGATAAGTTAATACTTGGCCCTTCACTTATCACATTAGCCTTGTGATAACTATCTTCAACTTCTCTCCCCCACCACTTTTATAATTAATTGATCAAATTTTCCATTTTAATTCAAATCTCAATTCAAGGTCTCCATAAGAAAACGATTAATAATGAACAATGTCTATATCTCATGTGAGACTAATGCACAATTTTTATATAGTGAAATCAACCTACTTTTAATGAAATTATTCCATTTAACATGAGATTATTTTTTGATGTGAAATAAATCATTATAAATTAGAGTTTTTAAAAGGGCCACTGAAATACATTTAGGGGTAACTTAGACACAGTCACTTGCTATTTGTAAAATGGTTTTGTGATGAATTATATTCTTATGTCTTTGCATAATAAGCATATTTTTGTTAATAAAATTATTAGCCTATCATAGCCTAGATTAAATTAATATTTGTAGTTGTCTTTCAAATATTTTTGAGGCAGTCTATCTTGACTTGATTTGATATCAATATATCATCATCAACAATCTAGTTAGTATTTTCTGCACTGATTTAAGCACAATTTGAGGATTTCTATATACTTTTTTCTTTCCAAAAAAGTTAATTTTTCACATAACAGGCTTTAATTATCTATAAGCTATAAACACCAAAAAAAAAAAAAAAAAAAAGAAAAAAAAAAAGAAAAAATCTATAAGCTATGACACACAAGTATAAGTATTACAGTACTTAAATAACAATCGCTAATATGTATAGCATGTTACACTTGTTTGTACAAAATATATCTCGTACTAGTTCTTCATGGTTAATACTCGTATGTAAAAAGATTAAACTTACCTGTAAAAAATACTTCATATAAAATAAATTCACAAGGCCATGCAGCAAAGATTTAAAATAAACATGCTTTGTTTCATTATTTATTTATTTTTATATATTTTTCTTGTTTAGAAATTTATTTATAAATTCTAAATGCAAACTGTGGAATAAAAAAATTGCTGCTCAACTCTATTTCCCAAATGTTTACTTCATTTTAATTTTATTAGAGGTAATATCATTTGTGATCCTGTAACACTGTTAAGACTAGCACAAGAAAAGCAAGTGCAGCAGAACCTGTAATGCAAAAGAGCTCAAGAGCAGCATCAACTGAACCACAGATAACCAGCAGACTAGCAGAGGATAACTGTTAAAAACATTTGACTTTTTCTAAAGTATAATGTTTAAAAAAGTATAATGTTTAAACCAAGCCTAAGGATTCTAAAAACCAGCTAAGGAGGACTAATATTTGCTGTCTCAATTGGTCTACCAACTAGGAAGAATGATAACTAAGTAGAGTGTTTCACAGGAGTAGGAAGAGTAGCACCCAGGACAGGAAAATCTTTGTCAGTTGGAATGCGCGGGCGCCTAGAAGCAGGAGCACGTGCAGGTGTGCGTCCAGCAGTATCACTGTTAGTCCGGTCGTTGAAGCTACCTTGCTCACCACGACCACCACGCCCTTGCCCCCTTCCACCAGAACTCCGACGATGGAAAGTTTGCTTGAAGATTTCATGTACCTCGACAGCCTGCTCAATAAATAAAAGACAACTATGAATCTAAAGATAGAACACTCAGCAGGAAGGCAAGTTACAAGAATCATTGACCAACAGCTACGAAGAATGCAAAAACAGACAATCAATCTCACTAACTTGTACATACCACAAATTTACAGCTCTTTTCCTTCTTCTCAAGGCTTCCATCGTTCTGCAGCTTTTCCTGCTCAGATATCTGACATACAAATTTAAGAAACATTCATTATTAAAGATCTAGATTAAGCCATACAAGTAATTAAGTTCTGAACTATCAAAACACCAACTCACCAGATTTACATCACTCTCAGTAACCTCTCCATTGTCTTCTGTCTTTGAAGTCTCTGTTGCTTGATTCTTGGGACTATTTTTCTTCTTTTGCTTGTCCTTAGCAGATTTCTACATAACATTTTATATAACAACTACTCAAAACTGAACTCCAAATCCCCACAAATGGATACCGAAACCAAAATGAGAATTAAACACTCACCCATATCTCATCGATAGCAACAGGCTTTTTCTCAATCACTCGCATTCCCTCCAATTCCTTGTCAATAGCCACTTTCCTCAATTCTGTCTTCTGCGAATTCAGCGCCTGTTTCTTCTCGAAGAGCAGTTTTTCATATTGATCCAGAGTCATGAGTGCAGCTTCCTAAAGAACAGTAATTGTGAAAGAGGAAGATTGATTAGTCTTTAAGCCAAAGAAACATGCCTCTTACTGAGGTACCAGAACATATACCTTCATGAGGTACCAGAACATATACCTTCATTTCCTCTTTCTTTTTAAGCTCAAGCTCGGTTTTCTTTTTCTGCACTTCTGTATCCTCTGGGACTCGAGTATCTTCAGAGACCTCTTCAGTAATGTTATGTTCTTCAATTTCTGCAGCTTTTGAGGCTTCCCAATCCATTTCAGCATCACTGTTGAACCATTTAAACAAATAAACAAAAATGAATGCATAACTTCTTGACTACTGATTAATAAAGAATTTAATGAACTGAAAAGTTAGGAATAAAATCTCAGTTTCACCATATCCTAAATGAATATATGAAATGATTAGTACTTATATACTAAATGCAAATACTCTAGACACGAGAGGATGATAAAATGCTTGTGCTTGCATGCACTGAGATGCGTGATAACAAGATCAATCTGATCCTCAAGAAATATAAAGATGTAAGACTGCTTCACTCTCTCCCTACTCTATCTTTCAGTTGTGACCACTAACTCTTCCTCTTTTAAATACAATAGTCTTCTAATCTAAGAATATATTTTCTTCTGCGTATTGAGATATCTCCCTCAAACAATAAGATTGCAGAGAAGCACACTAAACCAGTCATACAAATCCCTGGTATATAATTTAAATACTACTTGTTTAATATACCAGCATACATATGCAAAAATACCTTGACTTACGACCATCAAGGTAATTATGATCATGAACCTCTATACTTGAAACATATGAATAGAAGCAAATAACTCGGAGCATAATGACATAAGAACCTCAATGACAAGCAGCATGCAGAAAACACAGTGACAAAAGATCTTCGTAAAAATCCTTAGTTACTTACCCTCCAGAACCATTGATATGTACAGCTCTAAAATCATGCCCATCATCAGTCCTACCTCTTTCCCTGTTTCCACCATAACCTCGCCTCTCACCACCATAATTCCGGTTTCCATTTCTGTATTTCCTATCTTCACCTCCAGCTCTATTGTCTTCAGTTACATCCACTTCCATACTATGCTGTTCAGAATTGGCATTGGTATCTTGAACCTTATCCTCGTTACCTCTCCTCTCACCATCATAGCCCCGCCTTCCATTCCTGTATCTTCGTCCATCTGCAGCATTATTACCCTGACCTTGATTCACATACCCTCTTCTCTCACCACCATATCTTTGGTTTCCATTTCTGTATTGCCTCTGTCCATCTGCAGCACCATAGTCTTGAACTTGTTCCCCATAACCTCTCTTCTCCTCAACATCGTTCCCATTCTTGTAACCATGCTTATATCCAAAAGCGCGGTCATTATAAGCATAACCCTTCCCTTGACTCTTCGAAACCTCCTGCCACCCAGCATCATCATTTACGGTTTGAATATTACCCCACACATTTTCGCCACCAGAAGCCTCATTCACATTACCCCACCCATTTTCGCCACCAGAAGCCTCATTCACATTACCCCACCCATTTTCGCCACCAGAAGCCTCATTCACATTATCCCACCCATTTTCGCCACCAAAAGCCTCATTTACATTATCCCCCCACCCATTTTCGACACCAGAATCCTTACCATGGCCTTGACCCCAATCAAGGCTTTTTCCATCTCCAACTGCATACCCACTTCCATAAGAATCTCTACTATGATTCCATTCAAGTCCACCACCTCCCTGAACATCAAAATCCCAACCATTTCTGTTATCATGGCTTCCATCCCAATGACCTTTTCCTTTCCTACTACCACTACCATTGCGGGCTAATACAAGTCAACAAACGCAAGAAGCAAACACATAAATCAGTGATCACCAAAGATTTATCAAATCCCATAGAATTAAGCAATAACTTAACAATCATATAATGCAAAATCTTTGAACTCCATGTAACAAGATTCGTAATCTACTATTGGCCTCAAGCAATTCAAGTCGGAATAATAAATTCAAGACAGCCCTGTTTATATAATTTGGGTACAATAATTCGAGTCGGGTCAGGTTTGACATGCCTAATTGAGTAATTGATGTCAATTATACATTTCTAAATAGAATCACTAACAAGAACATCAAATTCTACCATAAAAGGTGAATATCAAATATAATAATAAACAATTATCCTTACAAAGCAAGTACGATTATTAAACAGGAAAACAGCACATTCATATAACTTTTTCCAATTAAACAAATACATTAGTCCTAAACATCATTAAATAAAGCAAACATTTTCCAAAAAAGATCCAAAAAAACAGAATGTAATTTGCCAAATATTAAAGAAACATAACATTATATTAAACCCACAAAATTGAATAAATTAAACAATCAAGAACATAGTGAGTTATCAGACGTTAAATTTAGCCCTAAAACCCTAAAAAAATCATCAAAAAAAATAAAAAGAAAATTACCAAAACCTGAAGTTTCATCCTCTTTATGCGCATGAATCATCGAGTCAACAGCTTTGTTGACAATGCGATTGAAAAGAGCTTCAACGTCATCATCCTCTACGTCGTCGTCGAGTAAAGCGAACGAGTTCACAGACTTCGCCATTGATGACAGAAAAAAGCTTAAAAACAGAGGTTTTTAAAAAAAACAAGAAATTTTATTTTTTGAGGGTTTATTATTGAGACATTTGTAAAGAAAACGAAAACCCAAATTTCAATCAGAGTTTTGAAGAAAACCCAGAATCCATAATTGGATTATTTTTCGGAAGAGAAAAAACAGAGGAGAGAGAAAAAGGAGGTTTGTGAATGGGGATTGCTTAAGAAGCAAGAGAGTGTGAGAAATTGGAAGAAACGAAGGTTGTGATATTTATAGTGGGGTTGATGATTTACTGTTGATGGAAATGAAAATGACCTAGGGTTGTGCTAAATCATTTTTTTTTTTTTTTTTTTTTAACGAGGAAAAAAAAAGTACTTATTCCTTAAGTTTTCAAAGTAATTTCCTTAAATTGGAAAATAATGGACTTTATAAGAAATACATACATATAGCCCATTTCTCAATTAGTCCACAATGAAAATTAAAATGCATACTAAACGAAGTCTTCATTTGGATTTCTTAAGCTAATTGTCTTTCCTCATATTATTGCACAAATGTATTTTTTTTTTTCTTAAGCTAATTGTCTTTGATTTTCAAGTTTATTTGAGGGTATCATAATAGACTAACAGGGTATTGAACAAAAGATTTGGTAAATTATATGAGTAGTGATTAATAATTTTACTTTTTTTTTTTAAGCAATGCTTAAATATGTTAAGTTAGGTTTCAAAAAAAAAAATGTTAGGTTAATTATTAGCAATGTTCAATCAACAACTTGCTTTTAGAGGTATAAAATGATAATGTAATAACATAAGTAAATTTGGTCATATATAGTAATTTAGGGTGCAATAGTGAATGCCTAATTTTCTAAAAGGCAATCTATATTTTAACATTTGAATTGTACTAATTCTTGTGTGTAAGCATTCTAACTCATTCTTTATCAACCACCAATGCAAAAAGTAAAATTAACTACTCAAATCTAGTATTCAAGGTTGAATCTACTCGATTTACTTAAACACAATCTTAATCAAATTTATCGGTGTTAAATAACCATGATATTATATGATTCGTATTTTTAGTGTGACCACGTGAGGAATAAAAATCCAAGCTTCCTATTGATAAAATCAAGTTACACTAATACAAAATTTGGAAAACGTACCGCTAATAAAAGTCCCATTATGTCTACAACGGGTTTATTGAAGTATGAGACCTAACAACAGAGGTTACAGCCTAACAAGTCTCTAATATGTGCAAAGGCCCAATATCTTGTTGAAGTAAATACAAAGAAAGATAAAAACCCGTTGTCCAACTTAACGCGTCTCTAACGTACACTAAGGCCCACTACTATTGTTAGAGTAACTCTTACCTAATCAAATTATATTTTTGGTAGTTTTTGTACGCATAAAATGGTAAATACTCCGTATATAAGAATACATAATGTGATTTTTACGCTTTAAACTAGATAAGCTGGTTAAAGTGTTTATTTAAGGGTTCGTTTGACATCGTTGTGGTTTTCTGTTTTTTGGTTTTTTGTTTTTTACAAGTATATTATATATATCACATATTGAATAAAAAATTATTAAGACTTGTAAAAATCATGATAATTTTGAAAACTGACAACAGAATAATTGAAACACCTTTTTCTGGTTTCCTGTTTTTTTTGGTTTTTAGTTTTTTAAAAAAAGGAAACTAACCAAAAATGATACCAAATAAGCCCTAAAGTTTCTGTTTCATTGTATTCAATCGTCCAAGGCCAAACAATTGGACAATTGCTCACAGGAAGACCTTATACCCAAACCCCCACTGTAGATCGAGTTTAATCATTTGACCCGTTTAATCAAACGTGTCGTAAACCCTTAATACTAAATCAATTTTTTTAAAAAAAATCCAGAAATATAGAGGTGTATTTCTTATGAAAAATTAATTCGGTAAAAAATGGTAACGTTATGCTATAAAATGGTAAGAATACATCATTTTGAGATACGCACACAAAAAGAATACAAGCACCGAAGCACATAATGTTATTCCCCGTTCAATTCGCTTTATTTGTGCTGAATTGGATTATTTTAATTGAACTGAAATTAATTTCATTGAACTGAAATTATTTTTGCTGAACTGAAATTATTTTTACTGATTTTCTATTATATTTCTTCTTTATATTTACTGATTTTACTGAACTGAAATTATTTTTGCTGAACTGAAATTATTTTTACTGAACTGAAATTAATGTTACTGAACTAAAAACTATTTTTACAAAATATTAATACGTATTTTTTAAGGTAAAGTGAACAGTGCATAAATAATGAGAGTGAAGGATAGCTCAAGTGGTTAGAGATTTCCTCCGTTGTCAAGTGATTCTTCCCCAATTTTAAATCCGACTTAAAGAATTGCAGCTGGTCATCTTTTGCCCACAAGGCCACAAGACAAGACTTAAAATTCTGGGCTAAAGCCCAATCAGACCAATCCCCTAACACTTGAGCTCAAAATGGGTCATTATAGCCCGACCAATAATCTACTCTTAAATATATTGAGTATTTTTTTTAAGACTAGAGACCAATAATAGTTGATTAGTTTCATTTCGTCAATCATTAATATAAGATAGTGCTTTCATTAGTGGTTAGTAAATTGTGGTAATATTTGTGAAAAGCTATTGGATCAAACAATTTTGTGTCTAAAGGGTGCACTTTGTATATATTTCCAAAATATTCACTACCTTAATGTATGATAAATACACATACATGTCAATATGTCATACATTTGCTTTTGCTATAGTCAAGATTGCCAATCATAAATCACAATTTAATTAATTGTAACTCTTCAACAAGCTAACAATTAAAAATCCAACCAATGTCCACTAATTATCAAGATTGTTGACCATGGTTCAAATAATTTGAAAAATATATAAATAAAGCACTCATAATGTTTTTTTTTTTTTTTCATTTTCAAATTTCAAATGTCGTATGTTATGACTTATATACTACATACTGAACTTAAATGTAGTCGTATACGAACAAGATAGGTTGATTTTAGTGTTAAATAAAACTTGAAACTTTGTAACTAATAATAAAACTAACTTCGTCAAACCAAACAATGCAAGACCAGTGGCTTATACTTATCTTTTTTTTTTGAGGGAATAAAAAAAAAAAATATTTTTTTTTTTTTTTTAAGTTTAAATAAGATAAGTATATTGGCTTATACTTATCTTATTTCAACTTAACCTTTTTTTTTTTTTGGATTTATCTTATGATACTTCTTATAATACGAACTCGTCATATCTTATAGTTGTACAAAGTATTATTTTACTTTATTTTCAATGTACTAAATATTATATATATGAGTGTTTATATACTTATTACTTTTTTAATAAGTTCAAATAAGTTAAACGAAACAATTACTATTCCTATACCCATTTTATCATTTGCGCCGCTACTTAAGTGTATAAAATAATAAATCAAAAAGAACCGACCAATATTATTTAATCTCCCTAGATCGTAAAAGAAAACATAAGATAAGAACAAAGTAGTACAAGTGTTAATCAAGAGAGAAGACAAAGAACACTAATTAATTTAACTACAAAAAGGAAGATGTAAAAAGCCAAAGACAAAGAAAAGCAGTTCACCAGCATCACCACTGACGATTGTACTAATAATTCCTTAAACCATTCTCTTAATGAATTATTAATTTAATCAATTTCAGAGATAAGACAATAACAACTTGACAGTTAATTATGTAATTATGCTGTATTATACTAATAATTAACAAGGTTGTAGAGTAGTTTATGTTGTACGTGTAGTGTTAAGTTGTAGACAAAAGTTACAGAACTATTTGGAACAAACATTAGTGTATTCTTCACAATATAAGCATATAGTATAAAAGACATCTAAGAAACAATTATTAATTTTAATTTGACAAAAGAAATATTATATTCAGCGTACAATAATTACAACGAAAGTACGTACCACCCCCTACGATAATAAAGTAATTAAGACATAATTATAAAATTAATTAGCTTAATTATATAGCCTGAGTAACACCTCTTATGTTGGAAGTATGTCCTAAAAATCCCACCAAGTTCTTTAAAATAAATTTAGTTTAATGTTTTAACATGATGAAACATTCATTAGCCTTTGTCACACGGGCACCCAATCAAAAGGCTATTGGTTAAGGTTGAATTAATTGTTTATTTTTTGATAAGTAGTATTCCTATTTTTCAATTGGAAAAGAGAATAATCCATATCATAATGACTAATGAGACTAATGAGAGCCATCAAAATCACATATTGTTGGATAATACACTTCCAAATGTTTTTGAATTGTATTTGAATATTTCATCATCGGTTTGTCTCCTACAAACAACCCATCACATTTTATGAACTTTGACAACGATGATAACTTTTATTTAAGCCTAAAACTGAAGCATGTTTGATTTCTAATTTTGAATCATTACATAAAGTTATAAACCCCCTCAATTTTAAAAGGCCATGTTTGGTGAATAGCTTAAAGCTGAAAGCTGAAGCTGATTTTGACTAGCTGATTGTATTAACTGATTTGACTAACTTATTTTATTAGTTGATTGTATAAAAGTATTTGGTAAATAGGTGATAGTTTAAAGTTGATTGAGTATGTGAAATTACCAATAAGCTAATTGTGCGTAGGTAGTTTTGGTATAATTTAAAGTTAAATGGGGGTATAAGTGTCATTTCACCATAAATTAATGAATAAGCTAATTGAAAAAGCTCTTAAAATAAGCTTTTTCAAAAAGAGCTTATTTAGTGGAATAAGCTCTTCAAATAAGCTTCCCACCAAACACTTTGAATTAGCTTATTTAATAGACAATAAGCTAATTTTGCTCAAATAAGCTATTTACCAAACATAGCCAAATTAAATTAATTAGAAGTCATGTTATCCTTAATTGTATGTATGCGAATATTTTTACTGTAAATAACAATAAAACACGAATCTTTTTTAAAAAAACACTTTAAATTCCATTAAGAAGCCATATACTTTGTATTCTCACTATACATGAAGTTGTTTAACTAGTAAGTAAAAGTCGTGGATAATCAATAGTGTACTCACTCAAAACAGGTAAGAATAAGAAGAATGTCAATTTGAAAAAATGTAATACAAGAGTACATACACTCGCTTTCTTCCATATACATAAACCGAAAATTTCAAACTTGCTAATGATAAAATTTCAATCCTAAATCAATTGACGACTTGAACATAGGTAGTAGAAGTATGTATTCAACGTTTCAAATCCTAGAATATCTTTCATGTCACATAAAC